TGTCCCTGTCCCCAGCGCAGCATCCGGCCGCAGGTTGTGACCACCTTCGAGCTGCCCGGCTGTTACGACATGTGGACGGTCACCGCGCCCCCCCCGCGGGAACAGGTGTGTCCCCGTGTCACCCCCTGTGTCACCCCCTGTGTCACCCCCTGTGTCACCCCCGTCACCCCACTGTGTCCCTGTGTCATGCTTCCTGTGTCACCATGTCCCCGTGTCACCCTCCCTGTGTCACCCCCATCACCCCACTGTGTCCCTGTCATCCTTCCTGTGTCACCATGTCCCCATGTCACCCCCCTGTGTCACCATGTCCCCGTGTCACCCCCCGTGTCACCCCCCTGTGTCCCCTGTATCCCTGTGTCGTCCTTCCTATGTCACCTGTGTTCCCCATGCCACTCCCGTGTCCGTGTGTCACCCCCCTGTGTCACCCATGTCCCCATGTCACTCTCATGTCACCTGTGTTGCCGTGTCACCCCTGCGTCCCTGTCTCACCCCCCTGTGTCACCATGTCCCTGTGTCCCCGTGTCCCTGTGTCCCTGTGTCACCTGTGTCCCTGTGTCATCCCCCTGTGTCCCCGTGTCCCTGTGTCCCTGTGTCACCTGTGTCCCTGTGTCATCCCCCTGTGTCACCTTTGTCCCCATGTCCCTGTGTCACCTCTGTCACCTGTGTCCCCATGTCCCTGTGTCACCTGTGTCCCCGTGTCCCTGTGTCATCCCCCTGTGTCCCTGTGTCCCTGTGTCCCCTTTGTCCCCATGTCCCTGTGTCACCTCTGTCACCTGTGTCCCCGTGTCCCTGTGTCCCCATGTCCCTGTGTCACCTGTGTCCCCGTGTCCGTGTGTCATCCCCCCGTGTCCCCGTGTCTCTGTGTCCCCTGTCACCTGTGTCCCCGTGTCCCTGTGTCCCCATGTCCCTGTGTCACCTGTGTCCCCGTGTCCGTGTGTCATCCCCCTGTGTCCCCGTGTCCCTGTGTCCCCTGTCCCCGTGTCCCATGTGCCCTCACATCCCCACGTCCCTCCGTGTCCTCTGTGTCCCCATGTCCCCTGTCCCCGTGTCCCCTGTCCCCTGTCCCCACCGAGGCTCTGTCCCCCCAGCCCGAGGTGGCCCCGGGGACCAGCGCGGAGCCCGAGGCGGCGACGGCGGCTCCGGAAACTTCTGAGGAGGACGAGGAACGGCACGGCTTCCTCATCCTGAGCCGCGAGGACTCCACCATGGTGAGGGACACCATGGGGACATCATGGGGACATTGGGGACATCATGGGGACATCATGGGGACACCATGGGGACACCATGGGGACATCATGGGGACACCATGGGGACATGGGGACATGGGGACACCACGGGGACAGGGCTTCCTCATCCTGAGCCGCGAGGACTCCACCATGGTGAGGGACACCATGGGGACATCATGGGGACATTGGGGACACCATGGGGACACCATGGGGACATGGGGACATCATGGGGACAGGGCTTCCTCATCCTGAGCTGCGAGGACTCCACCATGGTGAGGACATGGGGACATGGGGACACCATGGGGACATCATGGGGACAGGGCTTCCTCATCCTGAGCTGCGAGGACTCCACCATGGTGAGGGACATCATGGGGACATCATGGGGACACCATGGGGACATGGGGACATCATGGAGACATGGGGACATGACTTCCTCATCCTGAGCCGCGAGGACTCCACCATGGTGAGGGGACACTGGGGACACCATGGGGACATGGGGACACCATGGGGACATGGGGACAGGGCTTCCTCATCCTGAGCTGCGAGGACTCCACCGTGGTGAGGGACAGGGAGCATCGTGGGGACAGTGACATGTTTTTGGGGACTTCCCTGGTTGCCACATCCAGGGCTCCGTCCCCCACAGTGTCCCCTGATTGTCCCTGTGTCCCCAAGGGACAGTGACCTGGATTTGGGGTCACCCTGGGGTCTGGCCCTGCCTGGTGTCCCCTGATTGTCCCCATGTCCCTCCTTGGGGACAGCAGCCATGTTCTGGTGGCAGTGTGGGTGCCACGTCCTGATGTCCCCAGTGTCCCCAATTTCCCCAAACCCCTCCAATGTCCCCAGTGTCCCCAGTGTCCCTGATGTCCCCAATGTCCCCAATGTCCCCAATGTCCCCAGTGTCCCCAATGTCCCCAATGTCACCCAATGACCCCCCAATGTCCCCAATGTCCCCAATGTCCACCCAGTGTCCCTGATGTCCCCTGATGTCCCTGATGTCCCCAGTGTCCCCGGTGTCCCTGGTGTCCCCAATGTCCCCTCAGTGTCCCCGATGTCCCCAATGCCCCCAGTGTCCCCTCAGTGTCCCCTCAGTGTCCCTGATGTCCCCGATGTCCCCAGATCCTGCAGACGGGCCAGGAGATCCTGGAGCTGGACACGAGCGGCTTCGCCACGCAGGGCCCGACCGT